CGTCGCCACCTACCGGTAGCTTAGGCACATTTTATATGCAAATGCTTCCCCTGCTACTGCTTGTTGATACTCCTTTGAATTAGTTTCCCCAGCTGGCGTTCGCTCCATGAAAAGTTCAGAAAGATGGGTATCCCACCGCCTGCCCTCCGGAAGCGGTCTACCGACAAGAAGATTGCTTCGATCTCATCTGTGGGTCCCCTGTGTTACTCGTATATGTCGGGTCTCACCGAAGGGCATTGAGTTGGGATGTGTAGTGACATGTATTATGTTACTTGGCCTGGTCCCAACATCGATCCGAGCACAACGGCAGTTCCACCGGTTCATATTATCTTGTTTTCTCCAACTCAGGAACGCTGGCATATTAGGACACCCTAGTTCCTCCCTCCGTCTTCAGTGACAGGGGCGATGGTTGCTGTGTAGCCAACTGAAGGTGGCATTGAAGATGTGCAAAAAATGCTACATTATGTAGTCATCCAGAAGAAAGTGAGCGGAGTAAGGCTGTATGGTTTGTGTCATGCATGCTCCAACATGGAACGCGGCAAATTGGTCGTACATCTAATCGAAGAAAGGTCTTTTGCACTACATTTTGATAAGCTAATTATGTTGATTGCGTTATACTTTCTTTATTGGTAACCGCAACAGGAATTTGGAGAGAACTAATCGAGTTGCAACTTTGTGACATGAATGCATGCATGCTAATTGGACAAACAGCCTAATCGGGCGAGAGCTGGTTGCACGTCCGTAAGGACAGTTAGCAAGCATGTGCAAAACATTGCATGCCATCATACTTTGTGACTGATGCTGAAATCTGATCATCGAGGCTGAATATCATACGCCGATCAGTTCGAACATATAAAGGTGAGTCAGGATGGACTCACCACTCCAAACAGGATGGAAGAACGACTACCAATCTAGCAGCAGCGTAACTCTACATCAATTTGTCTATGAACATTGTAGGCCATTGAGCAACGTGCAAGTGGCACTACATTTGCTCCTATGAGAACCGACATAAAACAGCCGAGGACAAATCATACATGAAACAGGATAAGAATTGGACATAAGTGCAAAAACTAAAATCCGATCAAGCGCAAAGGTGTTTCGAGGGGATACTTGACCAAAGTTGGGTACACCAGGAAACGGCTAAGAAAACGGATTAGTGCCAATCCTGTGAAGAGAGCAGATTCTTCATAGCGGCCCAAAAAGGCATAAAGGGTCGATATTTTTCAGTGCATTCGACCTCATTCAACGTCTGACATCGGCACTCAATTAGGTGCCCCACTCACAAGTGATATTTACCAACCATTTCAGTCACTAGATGCTTAGCCGGCGGACCGAATAGACAATAGCTCTTCGTCATCGCTATCCGAGTGTTGACAGGGCTCTGGAATTGGTGAACACTTCAGCTGAGACAAACCGATTGATCATCAGCGCACTTTCGAAGGACTCCTATTGTTGACGCGATTGACAAGACCTATGTCTTGTAGTCGTGTTTGCCTTTGCGTTCCTGACGTTACATATGATATGACTGCTTTGGCTGCACGTGAGGTGACGCCTTTAAAAAGCCCACACGCCGGCCTTGCCAAGAGGTATACTTCAACCCCCAAACTTCTGGTGGCCGTTGGGACTGCGCTGTCTTCGTGGCAACGCTTGGTGCTAAAAGCGATTTCATCATGAGACTAGTCTGACCCGGCCCTTAATCTGACTTACAAAGTCACCAGAAGTGACACGGGTGCAGACAAGTGTGTGCTGATCCCGTATAACTCTGATACTCACAAACCCGCATACCCGTCGGTGTAGATCAGAATGTCGAATGGGCTTTGTAACGACCGCCAAGCTAAAAACGTACTTAGGTACCCACGCGGTCACAAGGAAAGGAGAGAGGCCAAAGTAGCTTTTATTGCCCTTCTTCGCTCACGACGAGCGTGTTGTTGATTAAACCACCTCATGCGACATAATACTGCGGTTGCTAAGTCCGGTCGCAATTTCATCCACTATAACTATGCAGCCAAGGTTGACGAAAATGCTGTAATTCAGCGACCGCAATATTCACATACTCAACGATTTCTTTAAGCTACCATATAACTAAATGCAAACAGAACTTCTTAGGCAGTTTTCGATCAGTCGTCGCTCGAAACGTCTACATTGTTCCTGACACATCTGCCTCAGAGTAGAAGTTTTTGAAGACCAAGTTTCTTTCATGCTACTGCTTAAATTACTTGGTTCGACCCGTATTGTTGCTGGCGACTTTACTAAAAAGGATACAGCATTCCTGAAGATACTTGGCTTGGTAGGCTTAGTGATATTTTCGCCCAGACAAGATACCCAGTTAGGCAATATATACACAAATAAGCGGCAATTCTTTTCCATACAAAGCTGGCTCCTTTGAGAAGCTCAGCCCATTCTGTTTTAAAATTGTGTCCAAACTTATACAAAAGATTACCAAACTGCGAAACTGCTCTTACAAAAATATCATAAGCCTCCAGACGATGTTTTCTCTATCTGATTTTTCGGTCTTCCACGATGTGGACCTGTAGACTTTAATGTGTCCAATCTTACAAACTATATGAAATATTGCTTCGATATGTGTTGCCCTGTTCAAACGACCTACCTAAGGGTGGGTAGATTCTCATCACCACTTCTAAAGCGGCTTCGAAGTATGAAAGAATGGACCTACAAGTGAAAGAATGCTACCAGTGTCAAAAGTCTAAGCATGGCAATTAAATTCGTGATAAACAGACAACCAACTATACGTGGAAGCAGTTCTAGGATGGGCTTATAAATGTGGGATGGCCACTCCTGCCAAGAGCCTAAACTCAGCAACTGGATCCAAGATTAAAAGGGTTAAACAACTTGTACATTGAAGCGAATCTAGGCAACCATAACTGTCTTGATCTATGGAGGCTTTTGAGACAGCACTGTGGTAAGAGCGTCTGCAGCCGAAGCGATGAATTGGATGTAGGCACCCTGAATTCGGAGTTTAGTTCCCTCTCAGTAAGCTCATCTTCTTTGCGCTCCTTCATTAACTCAAGTCCAGCTGCGCTCTTCGATCAAAGCAATGTTCACAATGAACTCGAACGATTAAAGTCAAACAAAGCTGGTTGCCCGGATGCTCTCCCAAAATTAGATCTGAAACAGTGTGCTAATTCTCTCACCCTGCTTTTAACAGATGTCTTTAACAAATGCCTCAATATAGGTGTGATCCCGGATAGTTAAAGATTGGACAGTATAACCCCCGTATCGAAAAATGCATGGCAAAAGTATCGTCCAATTGTGTGTACGTCAGTACTTCTAAACGTTTTCGAAAGGCTGTTAATTCCGCTCATTTTTGCAGTCATTTCTGATGACGATATCTACCAGTTTGCGTATAGACCCCAGCGCTCCACTTTGCACGTAATGTCATATCTTGTTCATTCTATACCCTCTGCATTAGAGCAAAAATTTCAATCCTTACGACTTCACTTCCTGGATTATAGGGATGCCTTTGAAATCCTGGATAGACCAATGTTGCTAAAACTGATGTCCGGAAATGGAGCACCAGTGTGTGTATAATCTGTTACTTGACTATTTTACGGATCGCGCTCAATTTACCAAGTTAAACCGTAAAAATTCCTCTGTCCTCCGTGCCGACTCTGGTGCCCTGCAGGGATCGATGTTATCACCTTTACTGTTTTGCTTATATGTTGAACATTTCCTTGCACAAACCACATTTATAGAATGTAAATATGCTGACGAAGTTGTGCTGAGATGGATGGCACCCAATATACGGTATTCCTCATCCCTTCAACGTTGATTGGAAGATGTGGTGGTGATTTTCATCCAAATCTCTTACTCTTAACGCCTCTAAATGCAATGATGTAAGGTTTATTATTTTTCGTGGCGATAAGTTGCAGACTCATAGAAATCTTCCCGACTCTTACTGTGAACGAAGATCCCATATTCAGATCATCCAGTACCAAGTACCTCGGACAAGATACTTTCTTGGTCCACGCGTGTCTGTAAACTTTCCAAAGTCAGCAAACTTTCTTTATGCCCGCAGACAATGTAATTCAGTAACGCGCACTTTACTACTCAGGTTAATGACCTAGTGTAATACTCCCCATTGGTTATACTGCTCTCCTGTCATATCCTCTGCACTGTTTCACAAAGACCATCTTATGGTTACGATACATAAGGCATACTTCGAGATGCAGTGGTTTGTCTAAAGATTCTTTACTTGATTTGATAATTTCCAGACATCTTGATGCCTGCAATGATATTTCTTCTAAGGTACTAACTGATCGATTTCATCCACTTCATAGTGCGCAATGGAAAATGCTCTCTTCTACGCGCTCGAAATCCATTCTGCTGCACATCATCCTATCGTAATGCTGCCTTGCCTTATCTATCACGTTTGCTTGTTGTCCCAGTGGAAAGTATAAACGTACTGCCACTGCCATTGGAGTGACAGTTGCGCAAAATTTCTATCGTTACATCATCCAGTTCGCCCGCAGTGGTGACGTAAATGCTGAAAAGGAACCCGTTGGGTGCATAAAGCGTACTTTGACATTACTTGACGGTGTCATGCGTGTCAACCAAGCGACTAGCAAATCCGTTTTGTTTCAGCTGCACTCATCTATGCATCCGGCGTCAGAAACCACGGATTGCGCTCGGTCTAGTCAGCTAGAAACCGGTGCCAGAACAGTACGATAAACCCTGTAGCCGCCTCTACCAAAGCTACCAAAATTAGATATACCCGCCATGATCTCACCCCACGAATTAGCGGTAGACACCGCCGGCGCAAGCCGCGTGATAACCGTGAGCCTCGGCCCTGGAAGACGCAATTTACGGTGGTTCTGATTGGCTGTTAGAATTGTAAGCAGATTGGTCGACCAATGAGGAACGCTCGGCCATGGTGTGTCCGCATGACGAACCTGATGGCGATCGATCAGCCGTATGACCAACGCAAGGGTTGACGCTGTCGAGCGCGCAGATGCTCACGCGTGCGTCTCACCACCCTTGCGCTGGGGTGGACAGTTCGTGTCCGACCGGGTAAGCTTGCCTTTCGCTTTAGCTGATCGGTCAGGTTTATGAACCCTCGCTATCATCTGATAGTATTCCGCACTGCACCGTACACCTTAAGCTTAATCATAGTGCCACTACCATGCAGTAACACCTATAAGTTCTTTTTGACTGCAGGCAGCTTACGTTCCGATCATTTATGCCCCGGTTACTCATTCATAACTGAATTTATTAGTCGATCTACACTTGATATCCTTCATTAACAGCTGTTGCGTATGCACGTAAGTCGTTTTGCTTTAATTACGTTAGGCGTTGACGGGTTACGCAGCTATGCGTAATAGTTGTGTATCTGCCTAGGGTATGCTCCTGTCTTACTAGTCGTATCCTATGCATCAATCGACCGTCTGAAGGGAACTGTCTAGACGGCGCATTAGCGACACAACTGTTGCACAGAAGCGTCACTTGCATTAGCACTCGTGTACATTTTTCCGTTAATTTGACTTTCGGGCGAGTAACGCTGTTTGGTTCCCTGTTCCTAGTTTGTTGATACTAGTAACAGCTTTTGACTAACTAGTAGGCCAGTGAGCCACATTCTTGTGTCAAGGTCGGCGCTAGTGCGTCACGTGACCCAGGCAATGGAGGCAAAACTGGACAATAATGCCCCGTTTAGCGTCCGCATACATTTTCCGCAGCCAATTAAACATCCAATCACCACGAACTACGAAACACGAAACACGATTTCTTAGAAGTGTTCGAATTTGTATTATGTTTTTTAAGCTGGATAATTTCATTCCACTTTATTTGGTTTCTTCTGCCTACCTGAATAATCTTCTATTAACTGGCCACGTTGCTTACGCTGACTGCGCTTATCTTCGGTAACTTCGTTGCGTTTGTAGCAGTTTTAAGTAACTGGTGGACATTTCTTACTTATCGCGGATTCGTTGCTAACCAACTTACTTCATATGGTAATTTAGCGAAGAGATGCCACCGTATCTGTGTACATTATTGGATTTATTTTATTTCAGGTTGTCGTTTAAAGTGAATGGCTGTTGATTGATATCCCCGGTGTGGCTGTGCTTGGTGTGCATGTTGACAAGGTGCCTACCTGTCTATTACCCACTACCTCGTTCATACTGGCTGTCGGAGACAGTTGGTCGTTTCTGGAGGGGACGGGATGCACGGTCCTTGTGGCCGTGTTAGGCTCGAAGAGTGGTTCCATGCACTCAGTGTGGAGCGGACAACGGTCCATCCACCGCCTTGTGTGCGCTTGATTCCCCAAATACAGCGTGCTTGTGTTCGCCTGTGAAGGAGTGTGGGCCGACTCCGTTGATGAAATGTGACTCCCATCCACATGCCTCCCGGTCTTATTCCTTCGGGTTTACACTGGATATGGGGTGTGTGGTTGGAGCTGTGGATGGTGCAGCGCAAGCCACCCATGGTCCCTCGGTGGGCGAGACGTCCTGTGGCTTGCCACAGTGACAGGCAAATCCGAAACCGGATGCCGCCAACCATGTATGTACGTAATTTCAGCAGTCTATCAACTAGACAGAGCCAACAGAAAACCATAGAGATCAGCGGATAAGGAAGAGTCATCGCGTCATAATCATCATGGCATGTTAGTTGAAGGGGAGCAACACACTTCAGCTAGTATGCAGCAGGAAGAATGGAACATTTTGACACAAAGTAAAACAAGACATTTTTAGTTTGTTTTTTCACGCCGCTTTTGCTCTTTTTTCATTTTCATTGTTTGTTGTATTAAACATGTGAATAAATACAGTACTGTACACAATTCTTCCACTGATTCCGGTTGCGGGCCATGTCTTCAAGAGTGCTAAACCATTGGAAGACGTACGGATCCAACAGCGGCTAGGCACAACGTCAGCGACTCCATGTGCTGCCGCCAAATGGAATGCTGACCACCATGCGTTCGCTTCCAGCCAGGTCCTTGACGAGCGAATAGAGCGCGACGCGGTAGAGGCTCAGGTGCCATGCGTAGGACGTGACCGAGCCATCCTACCTGGCGCAACAAAACCAGTTTGTTGAAGAGAATACTTGCATTCCCCAAAATGCGACGTCGAACGTCATTACTGTTACATCGACCTTGCCACCAAACACGAGTGTCCGAATTTATTGCAATCTGTCTCCATCCAGGCAGTAGTAAATTCGCTGACAGAGTTGTTGGTATCAACTTCCTCATTCAGCTTCGCTTTGCAGCTCAGTGAGCTCCAGGCTGGCCTGCCGAACTACCTCCTTCTGCTGCCAGCTGCGTGCTTCGGGTTCTACCCTTTCCAGCAAAAGTTTGGCGGCAGGGTTCTACGATGTGGTGGCTCTTCGTCTGACAAACATTCTCCCCATAAAAGTCCACATATGTCTGTTTAACAACATTGTGACATGGCGTTTGTGACTCGTCACCAAATAAAGTCACTGTCCCTTGCTTCGACTCGCTAGAGCATTGTAATCCTTCAGATGAACGCAAATAACTGGAAGTATTGGGGCATGTGGCAGCCTGCCAAACGAAAGGCGTATGAAACGGAAATTCGGTCACCGGCTCCCAATGGGCGCGATTCCCCGAATTCACCCTGCTGCCTTGCCAGTCAGGTCCCTATGACCCATGGCTCCTGGTGGGGCCCACTAAAGCAACCCGCTTCTTCGGCTTGGGCAACCGGCGAGCTGTGTACCCAAACAACACATGAAATGATGGATTTACGACTCTGCTCACGATTCTCGCTCCTTGAAATCTCTTTGGCCGTGCTGGCGGCCGGGCACGCTAAACCTCACTCTACCGCACCTCGAACCACCTTTAAAGCGCGAAGCGGGATCGGTACGCTTTAAAACCAATACGCGAAAATAAGGCCAACCTCCGGTGAGTGGAGAACACCAAAGGTAACGCTAGGAAAAATTTATTAAGTGGGCGAAAGGCTATCTAGTGCTAAAAATAAGGCACCGAAAGATAGCTAGCTAGGGAAAGGTGTGGTCGCTTGCGCGGAGAGCAAAGATGGCCGCGGAGCCGAGGAGCGTCGCGCCGTTCGAAGGCGGATGCTATGTTGACTCAAACAAACGCGAGCAACGTTCAAACAGGCGAGCGGCTATTTTGCTATGTACATCGAGAAAATATAATTATGTGATTTTGTAATATTTTACGCAGCATGCGGCAGCCAAACAGGGGAATCTCCAGGTCACTACACAGCCCCCCTCTTAGAAGGGAACCGTAGGTGACCCTTCGATCTACGTGAGGACTGTCCGTCGCCGGCCAGCCTTCTGCGAGACCAGGCGGTGAAACCTGATGCAGCTGCTGGGGGAGAACCAATGCGATCGGACGCTAGGGGGGCTCCCACCCGTGTCCTCCCTACAGGTGCCAAAAACACAAAATGGGGGAATGTTCGCAGCGTTCGAGTGCGTAGTGTCAAAGCACACGATGTTTGAGCACGTAGTGTCCGCAAACGTAACGTTCGATCGTCGTTGAACGTCCGCGTGTCGAGGATATGAAAAAGAAGCGGAGACGCGGAGTGTCAAACAGGTGCGAGCGACAGAGCTAACGAAAAACGATAGCACTTACCGAGTGCGATAAGCAAATAAAGCGAGAACCATTTTGTGTTTTCAAAACGATTTTCTCCTTTTTTTGGGTTTTCAAAACGTCTTTGCGGTTTTTGGGGTTTTCAAAACGCTTTGCAAATTTTTTTGGGTTTTCAAAACGTTTTTGTTGGGCGGATTAGGCCACAAGCAAAAAGGAAGCGGGAAAAGAAGAATGAAAAGAAGACTAATCTTTTAGTCGCGCTGGCCAATGAACCCGCCTACCTGACCTAGTCGATTTCGGACGTTCGGTCGGAGGCGTTGTCGATCCAGCAGTTTTGTCGGATGAGGACGCTTTCGGCTCGATAGAAACGTAAGGAACTGAGTCGGAAGAGTTGGTCGGAGAATGCTTCGCAGCATCGGAAGTCGGCGTATCGTCGATCATGGGCTGCGTTGACTCGTCCGAAGGTGGACAGGAGTCATCGTCGATCTCAGGTTCCACATGGGCAACCTTGAGACGGTCGATAGAGACGGTTTCATGTTTACCGTGGCGGTCGATAACGAATACGCGGTCCTTACGTTTAAGAACCTTAAATGGACCTTCGTAGGGTCGTTCGAGTGGTCTGCGTAGACCATCGACTCGAAGGAAAACGTAAGTGCAATGCAGTAGATCTTGTGGAACGAACGATTTACGTCGTTGTTCTCGCACGTCGGTTGCTTTAATATGGCGCATGCTCGTGGCTAACTGCCGAGCGTAATTCGCGTCGTAGCGAGGTGTTCTAGGGTTTTCAGAAAAGAAGTCCCCAGGTAGTCGAAGAGGTTGTCCGTATACCAATTCGGCGCTGGACGTGTGCAAATCAGCTTTAAGAGCTGATCGGATACCAAGTAGTATCATGGGCAGTGCTTCGGTCCAGCTTAGTGCATTAGCGGCACTAAGTGAGGCCTTCAGCTGTCGGTGGAAACGTTCCACCATGCCGTTGGATTGCGGGTGATAGGCGGTAGTCCGGATGCGTTGACATCCGAGGACTTTGAGAAGATCGTTGAAAGTCGAGGATTCGAACTGCGGACCGCGGTCGGTAGTCACTGTGGCTGGACAGCCATGTGAAGCGACCCAGCGCTCAACGAAAGCGCGCGTTACGGTGTCCGCGGATACGTCGGGTATAGGTACTGCCTCGGGCCAACGGGTGTATCGGTCGATCATGGTCAGAATGTAGACCATTCCTCTGGATGGTGCCAAGGGTCCAACTATGTCGAGATGGACATGGGCGAAGCGAGCTGAGACTTGCGGAAAACGACCAAGCGGGGCGGACACGTGCCGCTGTATCTTGGCCTGTTGACACGTTAGACATCCGCGTGCCCAGCGCTTAAGATCGCATTGCATTCCGGGCCAAACGTATCTCTCGGATATGAGCTTGATCGTGGCTCGGATGCCTGGATGAGCGATGTTATGAAGGGTGTCAAAAACTAGACGTCGGAAGGTTTCTGGAACGACGGGTCGAGGTCGTCCAGTAGAAGTATCGCACAAGATTGTGCCATCAGATGACGGCAGTGGATGCGATGTGATTCGCAGCGAAGAATCTTGTTTGACGTTCTGACAGTCAGTGTCGGCTAGTTGCGCGGTAGCCATGGCAGATAAGTCAATTGCCTGGCCAGAGGTGTGGATTGCGGAGACGCGCGAAAGGGCGTCAGCAACGACGTTATTCTGACCAGAAATGTGTCGGAGGTCAGTAGAAAATTGAGCCACGAAATCCAGCTGACGAACCTCACGTGGTGAGTGTCGAGCTGATTGATTTCGAAAGGCGTAAATAAGCGGCTTATGGTCGGTGAAGATAACGAACGAATTACCTTCTAAGACGTGCCTGAAATGTCGAACGGTAGAATAAACTGCCAGCAGTTCGCGGCTGAACGTGCTGTACTTGGCTTCTGCCGGTTGTAAGCGTCGGGAGTAGAAAGCGAGTGGCTTCCAGCATCCCTCAGTGAATTGCTGCAGGACAGCGCCAATGGCGGTGTCCGATGCATCGACTGCAACGCTGAGTGGAGCCTTCGGGTCGAAATGGTGAAGCATAACGGCTTCGGCCAAGGCCTCTTTGCAGGCCCTGAAGGCTTCGGTTGCAGCGGGCGTCAATTCGACATTGCCGTTCTTGCGACCACGAAGTAAGTCGGTCAATGGACTGAGCAAGTCGGCACAACGTGGCAGAAATCGACGGTAGTAGTTAATCATCCCACTAAAACGGCGGATGGCGGCCAAAGTAGTCGGAAGGGGAAAGTCCTTAATAGCACTGACTCGGTCTTCGAGCGGCCGTATGCCATGCTGGTCAATTCGATGACCAAGAAAATCGATGGATGGTTGCTGAAAGATGCATTTGTCAGCGTTGACCGTAATGCTATTAGAAGCTAACCTCTCGAAGAGCATCTTGAGGTGCTTCGCGTGCTGTTCTTCGGAAGAACTAGCTACTAAGATGTCGTCTATGTAAGGATAAACAAAGTCGAGACCTCTGGTGACAGAGTCTATGAAGCGTTGAAAAGTTTGAGCTGCGTTACGAAGACCGAAGGGCATTCGCAAGAATTCAAAAAGTCCGAAAGGCGTGATGACTGCGGTTTTCGGAATGTCATCATCGGCTACAGGGATCTGGTGGTAAGCGCGAACCAGATCGATCTTCGAGAACACACGGGCGCCACGTAGGCTAGCCGTGATGTCCTGAATGTGCGGAATGGGATAGCGGTCGGGGACGGTAGCGTTATTAAGAGCGCGATAGTCGCCACATGGACGCCAGTCTCCTGACTTTTTAGGCACCATGTGTAGAGGCGACGCCCACGGGCTCTTAGACGGGCGGATAATGCCTAGGTCTAACATGTGCTCGAATTCGGAGCGAGCAATTTTGAGCTTGTCGGGGGTCATGCGCCTGGCTTTTGCGAACACAGGCGGACCTTTCGTAACGATATGATGTGTCGCGGCGTCGGTTACGGAAGGCAACGGGACGGCAGGACGGAAGACCTGCGGAAAACTATCGAGCAGCGTTTGCCCGACGGGCGAAGTAAGTTGAGTCGCGTACACGGGACTGATTGACGCGGTGTCGGTCAAAGTCCCAATGACTGCGAGATTCGTAAGACGGTCGACTAGACGGTGTCGCTTAACGTCGACGAGTAGGTCGTAATGACGTAAGAAGTCGAGACCAAGGATAGGCGTTTGAACATCCGCAACGAGGAATATCCATTTGAAAGCGCGTCGGAGACTGAGATTTAGCGTGCGCGAGCGTTGACCATATACGCGGATGATGGTTCCGTTAGCTGCGCGCAATGAGCTAGTCACCTTTTCGGTCGGGTCATTTGGATCACGCGGGAGAACGCTGACTTCTGCGCCAGTATCGACGAGATAGCGAACTCCGGTTCTACGATCGGTGACGAAGAAAAGGCGACTGCGTTGACCAGCTACGTCCGTCGCCCCTACGTGCTGGTCCGCCCGTTTCCCTGCTGCTGTCGTTTGAAGGAACAGGGCGGGCGACATGATTTAGCTTGCTGGCCGAAGCGTTCGTGGTACCAGCAGTAACCGTTTCTATTCGCTGATCGCGAAGGAGACTTCGAACGTGAACGCGAACGGCTCCTAGAGCATTTACAGCGGTTATGTCTGGAGGCCGAAAAGTCTGCGAATTGTCGAGTCAACGTTGCCATCTGGGATTTAAGCGTAGCGATATCGTTGTCCGGTTTCGTCTGGACCTGCGAAACCTGGCCGTACGACTCCCAAATTCGGTCGGCTGTATCGGCCAGTTTGGACAAAGGTGCATCCTCACTAGCGCAGAGGATGTGTAGCATCTCGCGCGGAAGTCGTTGCAACCACATTTCCCGAAGAAAAGAATCATCTATCGAAGAGGGTTTAGCTAGGCTCTGCATTTTTCGAAGCAGCTGAGATGGCTTAAGATCGCCAAGATCGGTTTCGTTGAGGAGTTTCGTAACTCGTTGTCGATCGGATAAGCCTGTTCTTCTCAGAACAGCTGTCTTGACTGCATCGTAAGTCTTTTGGTCGTCAGGAAGATCTAGAATGTCATCAATGTCATCGATGACATTTAGCGGAAGCGCGGAAACGACAAGGTGGAACTTGGTCTTTTCGGACCTAATACCACGCAAAGAAAATTGCGATTCTAGCTGACCAAACCAAGACTTAGGATTAGTCTCGCGAAAAGGTGCGATAGGAAGCGTAACTGTGCCTATCTGAACGTCAGAATCTACGCGATCAGTTGCCATAGCGAGCAAAATAGCGAGCCAGCGAGATTAAACCGGAAAATGAAAAGTGAAAATCAGACGGGTGAGCGAAAAAATGTGGCCAAATCTGAAAAGAAAGGTTAGCGAAAACTCACCGGATAATGACCAAAATTCGGGGTCACCAATAAAGCGCGAAGCGGGATCGGTACGCTTTAAAACCAATACGCGAAAATAAGGCCAACCTCCGGTGAGTGGAGAACACCAAAGGTAACGCTAGGAAAAATTTATTAAGTGGGCGAAAGGCTATCTAGTGCTAAAAATAAGGCACCGAAAGATAGCTAGCTAGGGAAAGGTGTGGTCGCGTGCGCGGAGAGCAAAGATGGCCGCGGAGCCGAGGAGCGTCGCGCCGTTCGAAGGCGGATGCTATGTTGACTCAAACAAACGCGAGCAACGTTCAAACAGGCGAGCGGCTATTTTGCTATGTACATCGAGAAAATATAATTATGTGATTTTGTAATATTTTACGCAGCATGCGGCAGCCAAACAGGGGAATCTCCAGGTCACTACACCTTCTTCGTTCCACCTTTATTTAACGCTTCTGTTTTTAGTAACCCCCTCCCATTTCGTGTCTCTCATAGTGCATTGAAAATGAAAACGGTACTTTTAGCCTCGTCAACGAATCGCTCAAAACCGAGTGCATACATTCCAATACTAACAGCAAGGCTTTCAATGCACTTCGCTCGCTCTTCACGCTAGCTACGTTCAATGTTCGAACGCTCATGCAGGTTGGATCACAAAATGCTCTTGTGCATATTTTGGGAACCCTCTCAATCGACGTTTGCTGCCTAACCGAAACTCGTCTGCGTCTCCAGCATGACGCTACGGTTGCTCTCACCATCCTCAAGTTTCAGCTGCAAACTCGCCTTGCGCTTATCTGGAGATTCGTCAGTGGTTGCTCCGAAGTAGGAGTTGCGTTAAGCGCGCGTGCTGAGTCAACGCTCATTGAAGGATTCCCTGTCAACAGCCGTCTTTGTACAGTCCGTTTGGAAAGCTCAATGTGACCTTTCAGCTACGGGACCAGTAGGCGCTGCTTATTCATTGTGCTGGAGTACACTCCTACGGTCTGAAGCCCGGACGAAACTAAAGACGCGTTTTACCGCCAACTCACGGACCTCCTCCGCAAGAAACGCCGCACGGATCTTGTTGTACTCGCTGGAGATCTAACTCTGCATGTCGGTAGATTAACTTCATGAGCATGCATTTGGGAGTCAAAACAGCCACAGTACTCTCAGGACGGACAATGCCGATCGACTCCTTCAACTGTGCCCTGATCACGGCTTGTTTTTTACGGGCACCAATTTCCGGCGTTCCTGGCGCCAATGACCTACTTGGCGACCTCCGGCGCCTGGTCAAGCTTTTACACAAATTGACCGCGTCGCTGTTAGTTACCGTTGGCGAGATTGCGTAACGGACTGCAGGTGAATTTGGTATACTTACTTGACTTCAGATCATGCGCTCGTATATGCTAAGTTCGTTCTGCGCTTTGGAGGCGCCCAATAGCGTCACCGGAAACGCTTTGACACAGACAAGAGCGCCGCCCCAAATGTTCTCGTCTCATTCCAAACACATTAGTCTCCAACCTGTGTTCTCTATCCTCCGATGTTGAGACAATGAACACAGATGCAGTGCTTCTTACGAAAGCCCGCTACTTTGACTCGTGGTTTCACTGGACGAATTGCTTGTCACTGCATCTCCACACAGTCTCCAATTAATGGAAAGCCGTCGAACCATCCCCGCTGGAGTTGAGTGCAACACACTTACAGGACAGCAGGTGCTGAACTGAGACAGCTCCCCAGGATGGATCACGAAGTCTGGTGGGCACAACGCGCCGTTGAGATGGAGCGGGCAGCTTCATCAGCAAACTTCCGCAATCTCTTTCAACTTATTCGTTCCACAGGAGGCAGAAAGCCAACTGTGAGTGAGGTTGTGCGTGAAAATGAAGGCGAACTAATTCAAATTCGTCACCGTCGTCTGGTACACTGGGCAGCACACTTTAAAGATCAGTTCAACTGGCGACCACCACAACCGGGTCCATCTTCCGGGGTTCACAGCGCTCCCTGGTGCGTGGATATTTCTCCACCGGCAGAGGCTGAGGTCTCCAATGAGCTTCGCCTACTGAAGCGCCACAAGTCACCTGGCCCAGATGAACTTCTTCCTGCCCTCTTCAAATATGGTGGTCTTGCTCTCACTCGCGAACTAACATCTCTATTCCATCAGCTTTGGACTACTGAAACCATTTCAGCCGACTGGAATTTAGTGGATATTGCACCTGTCTACACAAAGGAAACCGGACCATTTGCTCCAACCATCGTGGCATCAGTCTCATTTGCATCGCATCCAAACTGCTCGCTGCCCTACTCTTGCTGAGGCTCAGTTGCGTACGGCAACAGCATCTGCGTGAATAGCAAGCCGGATTTCGCCCGGGTCGCAGTTGCGTCGATCACATTTTTGCGATTCGCCTGTTACTTGAACCTCGCCATACCTTCAGTCGACCAACTACAGTCATATTCTTGGGCATTTGAGCCGCGTTTGAGTCCGTTGCGAAAGTGGCTCTTTGGAACTGCTTACTGAAGAGCGAGTATCTTAAAAGTACATCAGCGTTCTCCGTGCCATTTACCATTAAATTTCATGCGACGTGCGAGTATGCGGGGACATTTTCGCCCCGTTTCAGTATCATTAGCGGTGTTAGACATGGTTGCCCAGTCTCTCCATCCTTGTTCGACTTCGCCATGGACCAGCTCTTGCATACTCCCCTGGAAAACTCTGAGTCCGGCGGCGGTGGTGCTCCCTAGTAACTACCGTCCGAACTTGGAGTTCGCCGATGACATCGCTGTGATTTGTGAGTTCTTCTGGGCCGCCCTGCATGTGCTGCTTCGACTGGCGATGTCCGCCTTTTTCAGATCGAAGGTCCTGTTACAGGAGTGGCGAAGTGCATCTCCTTTTCTCACCATTTCGGGGCATCCGCTAGAAGTGGTCGACAAATTCATTTACCTTTGGAGTTGTCTTAGTATTAGCGGTTTGACGGATGAGATTTTACTGCGTGTCTCCATGGTTACAGTCGCTTTCGCTAACCTTAATCACCTGTGGCTTCGTCATGACGAGTCTATAATGCTACGGTACGAGCGATTCTGCCGTACGGCTGTGTGATTTGGTTTCGTTCGCAAAAGCGTTGTTCAGCGGCTATCTGTCTTCGATCACCGCTGCTTGCGAAGCATTGCTGGTATTCGATGGCGACATCATCAACAGCAGTACATCGTCGGCCGGTGGCCGAGTGGTTGGCACGTTTGCTTCCCAACCATAAGGTCACCGGTTCGAATCCGCGTAGGGGTGGGCGTCCTCGCGGTATACTCAGCCCGCGCGCGACTGGTGGTGGTCGCGCGGCAGCGAAGCGCCGTTACGGCGTATAAGCTGACACACAGCAGTACATCAGCCATTTGAACTGATGCTTCGCTACCATACAACCATGAGGACCTATGGAATAAAGAATAAGAAGAGGGAGAGAAGGGGGACTTACCTGAAAACCTTAATGCCCTAAGCAATCATTCAGGGTCAAGGCACCTACACCTTGTGTAGACAACATAGCGTCATAAACAGCTAGCTATCGTGCAAGATAAGGCAGCATCTGTGAGACAATTTCTATGCGGCTTTCACTGCCACGCGTCATAATCAGCCGTTACCCAGCAGATAACTTAGCACCAAACACACTTTGAACAGACAATCCGACTAGGAGACGACAGCACACGCGCCACTGGTGTCGGTTGCGAGAAATGTCCTGTAAAGTCTCGAGTCAAGCACAAGGCGAATCACGTGGACTCCAGCCCGGGAGGCGAGACGGACCAACGACACCCAGTTTGGTCGTCAGTGACTTCATTTCCCGCTGCCAAGTTAACTTTTGCTCACCTCGGGCCTTGCACTGCCGAACACCTAGCAGACTAAACAAGGCCCTCCTAGGTAAGCGGTGACCAGACATACGTAGCACGTGCTCAAGCCAACGCAACTTATTCAGCGCTATCTGTTGTTCTAAGGAGCTAGCATGATTATCGCTGCCTAGTATCTGGCTACGCACATCATCGTTGCGGACAAGCTGTTGCCATCCAACACCAGCAATGCTTCGCAGACAACGACGATCAAAGACTTGAAGGCGCCTCAGATCTTCAGACTGAAAGGGCCAAGTCTGCTTCCCATAGACTAGGCCCTCACTATGGCCTTGTATACCCGAATTTACAGACGGAGGGAAAATCCTACCTCCAAAAATGCCGCAGGTACAAGAACGCAGTTCTGGCTTTTGCAATGCGTGAACTGACTTCATTTTCTATGTGCCAATCATTGCTGATGCAGCTTCCAAGATAAGTGAATTGATAGCCCTGTGGTTAAAACAGTCTGTGCGAATGCCCTTGTATATTGCCACTATAATCGATTCGCTCCACTTAGCGGGGACGCTCTCTTCTTTCTAGACACATTCAAATAAGGTCAGTGCTTTGCAGAGGACCTCACCTCCATCCTTAAATATTGCTGGTGGGACGGAATCCGGCACGAAAACGATTTAGGGCTGTAATCGCATTTCGGACCTCGGCCTCCGATGGAGGCTCTAAACTAACCGTCCATGGCTCGTCCTGCATCATCTGAGTAAGAAGAGGTCCGGGAACAGGAGGCCAGCTGAACTGATCTTGAAAGTGTTCCGCCCAACGAACCATACGGCGCTCCTTATTGTGTATCACTGCACCTGCGCTGTCTCTGATTGTCTCACTGACGCCTGGTTTCCTGGGACCAGTGGTGCGAATCAACTGGAAGAGGTTGCGGTAATTGCCCACTGCTCCTGCCTCCTCCATTTCTTGAGCCCTATTGGTCCACCAGGCTTCCTTGTCAGCACGCAGGCTCTGCTTTAGTTCACGCCTAATAGCCCGTCTGGTCACATTGTGTTCAGAGCCAGCCGGGATGTGTCTTCTAGATTCCAACAGGTTCACCGACCTCTCGGATATCCAGTGACTAGTGCGGTGACGATGGATTGTTCCACAAGCAGATGCTCCTGCATCGTGCATCGCGGCCGAGATGCTATTCCACTGAAATTCAGTGTCATTAGGACAAGACTGCGGAAGTTCAGTATACAGTGCGTCTTGATAGGCTTGCCTGACCGAGGACTGAGACAATTTCTCAGTTGCCAATCGTAGGGGACGCTTTGTGAGCCTCCCGGTAAAGTTCATGGAGAAACGACAACGTACCAAGGCATTATGAGAGTCGACACAGGTATCCTAGTGTGAGCGGCAATCTGGGATGGAACCACGCCATCTGTAACTTGTGGCAATGTGATCAATTTGGGTCCATCGCTGGTCAGCTACAGGAGGACGCCAAGTCGCACTTGGGCGCCCGCTGTGTCTAAAAGCAGTGCTACTAAGAAATAACTGGTGCTCCGCTTACTGTTGT